AAAAAAAAAAAAAAAAAAAACTAAAATTGCCATCAAAACACTTTAGATCCATTTAATTTAATTGCATAGACATAAAAATAAAAATAATAAAATGTTTTTTTTTTTTGTGTGTCCCAAAAGAAATTAAGCCATACTGGTCTGGAACAAAATGACAGGATTTTCATTTTTGAGTGAACTATCCCTTTAACCCTAGTATAAGCAATAAGTACTAGTGATACTAACTACATTATGAAGATCTGCAGCAGTATCAAACACTGATGGAACGGATCAGAGACGGACAGCTGCACTGCAGGGTGACACAGCTGCCGCAAGTGCACGTCCACGTCTGCACACTTGTCAGGAAGATGTCAAAGGAGAAGACGGAGACACTGAGTTTGATAGAGAGACTTACAGACAGAAAAAGTGAGCTGGATAAAGGTGTTATGGGGGTTGCGGGCAGGCAACTGGAGCAGCTGTTGACCAGCACATGCTTTAGTCAGTCAACACAGTGGGAAGCACAATGAGGCCTGTTCTCCCACTGAGAGCAGCTTGTGATTGTGTGTGTGTGTTTGAATGTTTTCTCATTAAAACTTGAGTTTTAACACAGAACAGAGAAACACAGTTTTCATTTGAACCAATTTTTTTGATTAGTTTACAATAGAACCAAATACAAAGCAATAAGCAAGATCATACGTTGCAGATTTTATCACAGTTGTTAGGCATGATGCAAGCTGCGGCAACAGCGATATGATAAAAGGCAGCAATGTTAAATAAATGATTACATTTATTAATATTAATAATCACGAACTATTTTTCTGTCATGTAAGCTTGTTACAGCTACTACGCAATGTAATGTTCAAAGATCATTCCATTAAAGGTACTTATCAACAATAACTATTTAAGTCGCCTCTCCATAATATTTTTTTTGGATAACTAAAAACAACTGCCGTACAAGTTGACAACTAACATGTGGTGGTGTTAAATTTATGCTGCAGTTTCTGGGTGTTTACTCAGAACTGCCTCAATGTAAATCTTTGCATAGGATTGTACATACAGTAGAAATGTATGCCCATCAGTTACTAATGTTGCCATATACTGTATTATCTTATTTGGGGGGTTAGGGTTAGGATTTTTTTCTGAAATTAATCGCGATTAATCCCACCTAACATTAAAGTTTTGAATACTTTTATATTGCAATAATTTCACATTCAATCTTCAAATTAATGTAGAAACAACATAAAGACAGCATATTTTAAAATTTTTGTTTAGTGGCATTTTTTTCTGTCTGAAGGTGAGCATCACTGATACCAATACAACTGATGTCTCTAGAAAATATTTTTTTCCCCCCTAATATTTAACCATTGCCATTCAACATTACAGTAGCTATAATTGAGAGCTATCAATTTTAACATTTATTAGACTTTTAAAAATAACTTAAAGTGAATAAATGTCATATTCAACTACCTGTGCCCTTTAGCAAGTAAGAAATATACAGAAACTGAATAAAGTTAAACACTAAATTAAATATTAAATATATGTGACCCTGGACCACAAAACCAGTCTTAAGTCGCTGGGGTATATTTGTAGCAAAAATACATCCACACACACACACACACACACACACACACACACACACATACAAAAACTTTCTGACCCTATAGTTTTAGTGGTACTGTATATATCAATGTATTAAATATATGTGACCCTGGACCACAAAACCAGTCTTAAGTGGACAACTTTAAAGGCGATTTTCTCAATATTTAGATTTTTTTGCACCCTCAGATTCCAGATTTTCAAATAGTTGTATCTTGGCCAAATGTTGTCCTATCATAACAAACACATATGTCCAGGGTCACATATCTTACATAAAGTGTGATTTTACATCTTAACTTTTCTTTGCTTTACATTTTTCACAAGTCCTAAAACTTTGTTTCCAGGTTTAAATTAAAAGTCTTCTGGACACTACTTTATTTATTACAAGACACAAAATAATATGTTGAAAAGAAATGTTGCTAAGTTTTTACTCTCATTCTTAGACTACTTCTCCCATTTGTTTCTTATGCTCCAGTCCAAACAATGTAATGACAGAAAAAAAAAATCACAAAATCAGTTTTTCTGGGTCTGAAAAGAATGTAAAGTACTTGTTTTGCTACACTGTATAGCAGTATCAGCACTTGTACTGTAGCTCCAGTATTTGCAAGCATATTTACAAACTCATTTGAAATAGGTCCACGTCAAATTGAGTACTGAAACAAAATATAATTTAATTGTTCACCTAAAGAGATATGGAACTTCTGTGTTGCATTGGTTAAAATCACACCGTTACCTCATGGGGCCTGCAGCTACCACAAGCAGAACTGAGACTCTAATGTAGTTGCCATTTTGCCACTCGAGGAAACTGTATTTCTGTCATTCATACACAGTACATTGATTTACTCTAAATTAATCTCCGATACCATTTTGGCTTCCCTTCAACAAGGTTTTTGTCGCACCACACATGATGTTCGGTCCTTTGTATGACATTAAAATATCCCCATGCTAATACAACTAATTGCTAAACCTCCCAAAGAAGTTTTAAGCTAATGTACCTCAAAGGAAAGCACAATGCTGAGAACTCAGGAGGGTATTTTCACTGACTCCAGGCCTTGCACTTTTATCTACACAGTGCAGAAGGAGACAATTTCATCAGGAAGGAGTTTCACGAAGGCAAGCCCCCTTGTTTCATTAAAACTTTGTTCAATGAAACACGTCCAAGTCTTTTAAAGCTTTTGATGCTCAAAACATCCCTTCAAGAAGCATTGCTCTCACAATGATTTCAAACTCTGCTTTGAAAGACATCTCTTAAATGTGGTGAAAAGTGAAATAATTCGTCGACTTTCAGAAGCTCTCTCAGTTGTCATACTTAGATAATGAGGAAGGAAGTGGAAGGGAGTTTTGAAATTAAACAGTACTAATGCAGTGGAAGCATGTGTGTGTGTCAGGAGGTTTGAGTACCCTTGTTTTCCCCCTGCTTTTCTGGTGTAAGTGGTGCTTTATATCCTCCTTTTGTGAGGGAAGCTTATGATACTTGTGACTGCCAATACAAGGTCACATGAGGGGGAGGAGGAGGAACAAACAATAGCTGCAGTATATGAGCAAACTTCTCTCAGACCACCCTCCTCTCCTCCCTAAATACCTTGACATGATTTCTTAAGAGAAGCAAATCATTCTCTGAGCTGCTGTCAACATGTTTGAGATACAACTCTTCCTGATGTGTAGGATGTTCTCTATCGTTGTGCTTTTTCCTTTGAATGTGCTGTCACATTTATCTCCTTTAATTACACTTTAACATACATTAAACATGTTAATTAAAAGTGAACTGATAATGACAGATGATTTGCAGCTGAATTGTTTTTGTTCTAGTTATGATGATCATTAAACAGGGTGTTTTCTCTTATTACAGAGGAGCAAAAAGCTGAGTACAACCCCATGAGCCCTGACATCTCTCTTCATGGAATTGGAAATGGTACAGGTGAGATAACTTCACAATATATTGAAATATTCATGCATAGATACACAATAAATAACTAAATTTCAAGAGTTGGGTCAACGATTTCAAGTGCTACTCAAGACACCAAATCTTGAACATATTCATTATGAGATGTTTCCTACACTGTAAAAAATGACCGTGAATTTAACGGTAAAAGACTGTAAAAATGCTACAGTAAAAACCTGTTATATGGTTAACGGTAAATTCCCCTACTATATACGTGAAAAACTGTATTGGACATTACATGTAATTTTATGGTAGGATACCGTTTTTGGAAGTGAAAAAGACCGTATAATTTACAGTGAATAACCGTAAATTGACATTCCCAGAATTCCCTGCGTTACATTTAAATTTTGATGTTTTTTTGTTGAAATAACTGTTTCTTCTTAGTTTTTTTCTTATCAGTTTTGTATATTAGGGTTGTATGTTACACCTAATGTTGTTAAATTAATGTTTATTGCATTATTTCAGTTTCATGTGTGTTACTATGATGGTGTTTAGTGTTTGTGTGAATGACACTGTGCACCTTCTATATATGCTATTATTTAAAAGCTACTTGTGATGGGCTTTGGTACATCATGTGACGTGTAAATTTAAGTTAAAACCGTAAAACCTAAAATGTTGCTACCGTATTTTTTTCCGTAAAATTCCGGCAACCACAGCTGCCGTTTTTTTACCGTACATTTTACAGATTTTTTTTACAGTGTATGTAAGAGTTTAACATCTCTTAAAACTATAAGTAAACGCATGCTTGGCACACATGTGAGCATGTGAGATAATGCTCCCTCATGTGACTCTATGGGAGATGGAAAGTAAACATTTTTAAGTTGAGCGCGAGTGCATGGCAAATCACATTTTGCAGCTAAATTGAGTTTAAAGGCAAAATCAAATTTGTTCAGTCCATGTACCTTCAAATTGATTACAAGGAAACAATAACATTTTCATTTGCTTACCTAATTTCCAGTCATCTAAAGAAAAAGTATGATTTAGAATAACTTTTGTCATGTTATTAGTTATCTACCCACATTACCTCATTTTTTTACATATAGAAATATATACGTTTTGTAAGGCGCAGTTGTCTATTTATCCTGTCAGTATCTTTAAGTATTTCATCCAAAAACCTATTGTTTACGAAAATCACGTTTAAAATCTTGTTCTGTGCAATTACACGTAACACATGATCTATAATTAGATTATTGGGTTCAATTTTATGTATACGATGAGCAATACAAAGTGAGATCAGTTACCCTGGCACGCCTAATTGCCATATAACCCAATTACCCATAATGCTGGAAATGTTTAAAGCCTTTTCAAACATGCAAGAGGATGCTTAAAGAGCGCTTGATGATCAAGCTGGCTCCAATTAGTCTTTGAAGTGGCCATTATGTTGTAACTTAAATAAATACTTCCACCTTGAAAGTCCTTCTAATGGTTTAGTCTCCACTACATCACACTTAGAGTGGCCAGTGTCCTAATGTTCAGCTTGGTCCTTTCCAGTGACACTGAGCATCAACCACTGGATTCATTTGTGCTTTTTCTCCCCACTTCCTCTGTGCAGTTAAGGGTATTGATGCCTCTTCAGAGCTGGGAAGCTTCTTTGCCAAGAGGAAACTGGATGACAGCGAGGGACATGCAGCGAGCATTGCGGAATACCTGCAGGATACTGTTATTATTTACCCAGAGGACCCAGAGGAGGGTACACGACTGGACACGCCAGAGGCCAATGGACAAGATGAAAATGAAAATGGTAGGCATTAAACTATGCATACAAATATCATCCAACATTAAGACTCAGTAAGCACCAAATGCAATTAGAAATTCATTTAATAACCTTATTATGTTATATTGTCAAAGGTTCAAAAAATGTATTTAATAAAAATAATGCAAAATCATTTCATGGCCTGTAAGAAATATTTTTTTTATTTCAAATGATGTACATTTATTACAATTTTTATTTTATTTTACATATTAACTTGTGTGGACAAAATGCATATATTTAGTTTATAAAATATTTTTGCTAATGCTATTTGAATGATATAAATGAATAGCATATTTTGCTGTTTCACATAACTGAATGCAGTGCTTTACCTATCGTTATCCCATAGCCTCATATGGGAACTGTTTGTACTACTTATGCTGTTTTTTTTTTCAATCCCTCCTCCTTCACTGTGTTCACTCAATTTCAATTTTGCCCAGATCTGGCACTGAGGACGCCAGATGCCTTTGCCCAACTGTTGACCTGCCCCTACTGTGACCGGGGCTACAAGCGGCTGACCTCCCTAAAGGAGCATATCAAGTACCGACATGAGAAAAACGATGAGAGCTTCCCCTGTCCTCTGTGCAGTGACACCTTCGCCCACCGCACCCAGCTAGAGCGCCATATGGCCACACATAAGCCTGCCAGTGATCAGGTGAGACGAGGCCCACCTCAATCCATACCCACACTCATTACTTCCTCATGCTTTTTTAGTATTATAGAAATCTGGGTTCATTGTGAAAGATGCTGCATCTCTCATTCTGAGCTTGTTTACTTGTCTGAGGAGAACATGTTTCAGCCTGTTGATAGCTATAGCATTGAACAAGCTCCTCCGGAAGCTCCTTAATACTTGAATCCTTCACACCGGAGTCACAGCTGTGCACTGTCATACTCCCCTGAGTGTCCACCCACAGCTGGCCATGTGTGGGCTGTTCTAGCACATTGAGTCCTATAGGCCTGCCGACTTCTCGCATCAGCTGTTGGAAAGGAGTCAACTCAAAAGATGCAGGGAAAGCTGATGTTAATTCTGCCTTTTAGGCTGGTCTCAACATGAGCATGCTGTGAAGAATGCAGTGATATATAATTATTTTGAAGAGGAAACTCTATATTGCTTTATTACTGAAGGAAAGGGTCTGTTTTTGATGTGGTAAAAGGGTTCTCGGTTGTTTGATCGAATTAAAACAGGATATCCTGCATTTAGGATTTCAACTTTGAACCTTAAGCAGATTTAGGCACGTTGGAAAAGAATTGGCATTACTTGACTTGCATGCTCATCTTACTGGCTGATTCTCACACACGCATACACACATATGTGCACCTCTTCATACTGAATTAAACACGACCAGATGGCTTTTTTTCCCGGTGATCTAGAGTATCCTAATCCTTAAATGACTTTAAATGTTTGTTTATTTGCTCTAAAGAGGTATTTTCCTGAAGGCGTTGAACATTAATTCCTAGGTTCACCTTGCTAGATTTAGTTTTACATTTCATCATATGCTTGCCTCATTGTATATATTTACATACACTTATACAGAAAATGGAAACCCCAATACACATCTTAAACTGGCCTATGTGCACGAGTATGACTGAACTTCTGAAGAAAGAACTTCACAGTACTGTACATAGTGACTATTAAATGTGCACTTGTGGACACCCACACATTTTTCACAGACCTTTTGTGTCTGTGTGTGGGGTGCAGGGTGAATGCTGTTGTTTTTGTTGTGCATCTGGGGCCCACATTTGAATTTCAAATGGAGTAAGAGCACCTACGTTTAACTTTGAATGGTGAATACAGATGCAGCCTACACTGTTTTGACTAAACCTAGACAACAACTATTTAAAGTATGCAGATAGTAACTTTCCTAAATACAATTCTGTCTTGTGTTTAATTAATCAATATAAATAAACATTATTTATTTCAGCATCAGAATGAATTGTAAACTCTATTGTGACTGTTTTCTATCTGTATCAATTTCTATAATCTTTCTCTCCCTTGCAGCCTCAGCTGCTAAATGAAGGGGCTGGTAACCGCAAATTCAAATGCACAGAGTGTGGTAAAGCCTTCAAATATAAGCATCATTTGAAGGAGCACCTCCGCATTCACAGTGGTAAGTGTTTAATTGAATAATATGTTAAGAGCCTCCTTTCATAAGTGTTGTGAAAAGAATGCCAATAATGTATATAATCTTATTTCATATGTTTCCAATTTGCCTAATGGTAATTCAGTGTGGTTTTGTATAGTCTGGATGGATGATGAATATTTAAAACCATAATTATATAATTATGCAAGAATTCTGTTTTATTGTAGGATCTCATCATCCTATCAGTCATTAAGTTGAATGATGGGATGGGGAAAGAAGTTTAATGTAATTCTAACTTAATGTGTAAAATATGTAAAGGGAAATTATTTTATTTTTGTATTTGAATAATTAAAGTTTTTTTTTTCTTTTTTTTTTTTTTAAGGTGAAAAGCCATATGAGTGCTCCAACTGCAAGAAGCGCTTCTCCCACTCTGGATCCTACAGCTCCCACATAAGTAGCAAGAAGTGCATTGGCCTTATCTCTATTAATGGACGGGTACGCCATGGAATCAACAGCAAGCCTGGCTCATCTCCAAACTCTGCTGCATCCTCCCCTGGCAGTCCTGCCTTAGCTCAACTCCGCCACAAACTGGAGAACGGCAGGTCCATGAGCCTCCAAGACCCATCTGCTCACCCAGACATCAAGTCAGAGCCCATGGACTTCAATGAATACCGTCTTATGATCGCTTCTCAACAAGAATATGGTGGGTCAGGAGCCTTTCTCAATGGCAATAGTCATGGAGGTAGTCCTCCAGGGATGCACGGTTCATCTCAGAACTCCCAGCAACATCTGGGCATTGGGTCGGATTCTCATCTTTTAAGCTATCCAGCGTTCATCAACAACATGAGTGAGGTTCAGAAGGTTCTTCAGATTGTGGACAACACAGTTTGCCGGCAGAAAATAGATGGCAACCCTGAAGAGATCTCTAAGCTCAGAGCATACATGAAGGAATTAGGCTCCCAGATGGAGGAGCAGAATCGGGTACTGGCCTCCCAGCAAGGCTTCCTTGGCGTTGGTCACAACAGTCCCACCAAGACCATCATTGACTACACACTGGAAAAAGTCAATGAAGCCAAAGCGTGTCTCCAGAGTTTAACAGAAGATTCTAAGAGACGGCCTGTAGATATAAAAAAAGAAAGACCCAGCCATGCCATGGATCTTCTATCGCAAGATAAAGCACAGGAGAGGGATGCACAGTATGCACCATTCTCTTGTCAGTATTGCAAGGAGACGTTTTCTGGCCCTATTCCATTACATCAACATGAGCGCTATCTCTGCAAGATGAACGAGGAGATCAAGGCTGTCCTCAAACCTAATGATACTGTACCAACTGGCCGCAGGGGGCTTTTCGGCTTAGAGCAGCATACTGGTGTGATCCCCTCATCCCTTGAGAGGAATGCCACCAGCCCACTCAACCCCTACAAGGATCACATGTCAGTACTGAAAGCCTACTTTGCCATGA